CTTATCAGGAAATATCTGGAGGGATTTGCATCTGTGCTTCTGGGAGCACTTTGCAGCAGGAGGAATTGTAGAATGGTTGGAGTTGGGAAGGGACCTGAAACCTCATCCAGATCTAACCCCCTGCATGGGCAGGGCCCCCTCCCACCAGCCCAGGCTGCTCCAAGCCCCATCCACCCTGCCCTTCAACCCCCCCAGGGATGGGGCAGCCACCGCTTCCCTGGGCAACCTGGGCCAGGCTCTCCCCACCTTCACACCAAAGAATTCCCTCCTCAGCTCCCACCTCCATCTCCCAGTTTTCATCCGTCCCCCTCCTCCCATCCCTCCCTGCCCTTGTCCCAAGTCCCTCCCCAGCTTTCCTGGAGCCCCTTCAGGCACTGGAAGCTGCTCTAAGGTCTCCCTGGAGCTTTCTCTTCTCCAGGCTGAACACCCCAACTGAATCATCACCCTTGCTCCATGTGCAGGGAGGGGTGAAACGAGCAGGATTTACTTCCCTGGTCCTGCTTAAATGCTATAATACTGGGTTTGATTGTTCAGATGTCATTTCTAGAGTGGTTGATGCTGTTTGGGTGTTGCTCACCACCCCTCGTCTGCTGGCCCCACTGCTGCCAGAGTGTTTGGAATGCTTAGCCAGAGGTTTTGGGAAGGATTTGAGATCCTCACGGGGTTGTTCTTGCCAGGCTTGGGAGACTGAGGGACATGTTTGTGGATGGCAAGAGCTTTGGGAAGGTTTGCAGATGGCCTTTCTGCCAGGCTTTCCATGAGGAGCATTTGTAAATAACATGCATGAGATATTTGTGAAGACACTGGGGGTGACGTGTGAAGTGCAGCAATTTATTAAGTCATCAGAATAACTTGGCAGTGGTGGGAGCCTGGATCTCCCTCTCAGCCTGCACGGGTGTTTGTCACCCCTGGCACTTGGCTTGGGATCATATTTCTGGGAGCAAAAACCCAGGCAGGACTTCAACGTAGGCAAGAAACTCCTGAGCTGCAGGTGAATGTCAGAGCTGCTGGGTTAATAGGGGAGTTCAGAGGGAGTAATTCCTTCAGGAGCTGGAGGCAGCTTTGCCTCAATCCAGGTCAGCCCGAGGAAGGAGCATCCTTCCCTGCTAGAGCTGAGCTAATCCTGCGTGGAAATTTAAGCAGGTGACTCACAGGGAGAGCTTGGGAAGAGCTTGGTTGGCATAGAGAGAGCTTGGTTGGCATGCTGGTGGTGTCTGGAGGAGCCTGATCCTTCCCCCCAGTGATGGTGGTCCAGGACCACCACACCAAGACCCCCTCAGCTGCCACCTGAGGTTTGCAAGTGACTTAGAAACCCCCGCGCTGCTTTGCTGCTGGGCTGGGGCTGTTCAGAAGGGTCTCAAGTGGGTTTCAATGCTGCTGTTCACAACTTAAAACCCTTCAAACCTCTCCAGGGGGTGATTTGAGCACCTCGTGCACATCCCATCACTTCATCCTGATGTTCCCAGAGCCCAGGTTGGGATCCTGGAGTACCGGGGGCTGCGGGAAGGTGGGTTAGAGCTACGGTGTGTTTGATTCATGGCAGCTTGTGGATCTGAGCTGCTCCCCCCATCTCTGAAATTCAGCATATAACCTGTGCATGAGAAGTCCTTGTGAGACACTAGTTGTTGTACCTACACAGGAACAGCCTCTTCAGATCCAGCTCTGGAGCTATTTTATTCAATCACTGCTGGAGAACAGTGTCCTGCCATTCCAGGCCACAAAAAAAATTCCACTGAGTTGGTACTAGGACCAAAAAAAGATGGGGAGGGGGGAGAGAAAAGTAAAAATCCAGCTTTTTTTTTGTTCCTTTGTCAAACCAGATTGAACTTCAAAGTGAATGGGAACTGTGTTGCTAATCATCTGCTGCCTTTGGGAGCTGAAGGGTTTGCTCTTCCCTGCCGTGGAGAGTGGGAGATGGAAATGGCTCCGTGCTAATTTTCTGGTGTCTCGTGGCTCCTTGAATGTTACAAGCAGCCTGGAAGTGCTGAGCATGGAGGGGTGGGTGAGGAGAAGGCCTCCAAGGCTGGCCCACCAGGGAAATGGTGTTGAAAAGCTGGTGTTGGGAACTGACAACGGGGCTGAGTGTTTTTTGAGGTGTGTTGAGAAGAGCTTTCCAGGAGGTGATGGGTGTGCAGGCAGTGGTGGCCACATCCAGGCCATGCTGGTGGCTTGGTAGCTCTGGAGGGGACAACTGTGGCTCAGGGTTTGGTGCACAAACCAGGAAAAGGAGGAATTCCCAGCTCTAGGCTGTATTCTCTGACATTTCCCAGGGTCAGAGGAGCAACTCAGCTCACCCCTGTGGTCCTTGGTGAGCTGCAGCTTGTTCCTGCCCTGCTTTTGGAATTGATTCTGGAGAGGTGAGAGTTTGTGTGGTCTTGTCACCAACCTCAGGGACAGAACACAAAGCCCAGATCTATTGGGAGAAAATTCTGCAGGAGCTGCAGCCTCCAGCTGCTGGCATGGAATGTGTACCATGGACAGGGAATGTCTGTGCTTCTGTACCAAGGAGACCTCCCAGCCTGGGGACCCCTTCCCTCCCTCTGGGTGATCTTTACTGCCCATTTCTAATGGTTTTAAATGGAAGAAGGGAGATGTAGGTGATGTATTAGGAAGAGATTCTTTCATGTCAGGGTGGAGAGAACAAGTTGCCCAGGGAAGCTGTGGCTGCCCCATCCCTAGGGGTGTTGAAGGGCAGGTTGGATGGGGCTTGGAGCAGCCTGGGCTGGTGGGAGGTGTCCCTGCCCATGCAGGGGGTTGGATCTGGATGACAGATGATCTTTAAAGTCCCTTCTAACCCAAACAAGTCTGGGATTCTCTGACTCTGAGTTCCCTAACCCTCTCCCGGCGTATTTTTGGACCTTCTGCAGTCAGGAGGAGATATTTTAGCAGCAGCCCATAGCCCAGGAGATGCTGAGTCCATGCATGGAGCCCAGCACAGCTAGGACCCATAAGCTGCTGTGGCATTTCAATATAATGGGGAGCAGTGTGTGGAGGTTACCATAAAAAGCCATCCCAGGGGCAGCAGCATCTGATCCGCGCGCAGGCGGCGGGGTGACGCTGGGCCAGCTCCCTGATGACTTTTCCAGGTTTGCTCCTCATGCCACGGCCCCAGCTGCAATATTCCCTCAGTCAGAAGGAGAATGAGCACGGGCTGAGCACGTGAGAGCTTTACTGGTGGGGCAGGGACCAAGCCTGGTGATCCTGAAGCTGTCAGGATTGCAGGAACATGTCCCTGCTTCACCGTCTCCAACCAGGGATGCTTGGATTTCAGTGCTCGAAATGTAAATGCTGGGATTTAAATGCTTGAACAAAAAATGCTTGAACACAAATGCCTGAACACAAATGCTTGAACACAAATGTTTTCCCTTCCCCCAGTCTCCTGGCACTTGCCCTTTGCGAACTGGGAAAGCTCAAGGACAAAAGCTTTCCCTCTGTACCCGCTAGTCCGGCACATTAACACCCTCCAGGGTGAGCAGGGAGCTGGAAAATGGGGATTTAATAGGGGCTGGAGTGGCTGTGCAGGGCTCCTGGTGCCCGTGGTTTTGTTTAAACCCAACTGCTCAGTGTTTCAGCCTTGCTGATTCCATCTAAAGCAAATTATGGTGCTGAAGTGGGATTTGTCTTGTGGTTTTTGTTGGCTTTTTTTATTTTCTTGTCGCTAATGTGGCCCCCAGCTTGGGTTACAGAGTTGGTTGTGTAGCTTTTTCTTCCAATCTAAAAAGATCAGAACACTTGTTTTCTTGCCTCTCAGAAGGGAAAAGCATCACCAGGCTGTTCAGATGTGCTTTTCACAACCTGCTCCTGGCCTTGACCCTCCCCCCCCCAAAATGATCCTGTAGTTTGTGGGGATTCAATTCATATATCTGACCTGTTTTGTATGAACCCAGAGCCCAGCACCAGAGCAGTCCCCTCTGATATCATTTGATTTACTGAAATTTAGGAAACAGGAACAATGCTTCCAGTTTTTTCTGGCTTTCCCCTCTTCTGTCACATTCAAAAATATCCTCTCTTGTCTTTGCTGTCAGATGTTCATGTTTCCTCAATTTGTAACACATTTTAATACTATGAATCTTCCCTTAGCCTGGCTAATTTTTGGCTGCTGTTAATCCTTCTGTGTGGGGTAGGGAACTTCTCCTCAGCTGGACAAACCTTCCTGGATGGCAGGCTGGGCTTTGCAACCCCAGAAATCCCCCCCAAAATGCCTTCAGTTCATACTTATTTTGCACTTTGTATTTTTTTTCCTGCACTTCCTCTTTATTTCTGCGCTTCGTGTTTCTTTTTTCCACTTCAGATTTCTTCTCCCTGGGCTTTTGATTCTGCTCCTCTCCCTTCTCATGCCTTTTCCAAACAACATTATTGGGGAAATATCACATTACTTTAGATTCACATTAGATATGGGGGGAGAAAGTTGTTTCTTTTTCCCTTTTTGCTTTGCTCAGTGGAGTTCACAGCTTTTGTTTTCCACAGCAGCTTCCGTCCCCCATCCCAGATAAAGCAGCTCTCCATGTTCCCAAAGCCAGGAGGTGGAAGAGAGGTGGACAAAAGGTTAAAATTAAAGAATTAATGGTAAAACCATAAGGGCTGGCAGGAGGAGTCAAAAGCAGGATGGGACCTTCATGTACTTTTACCAGGTTTTGCAAAACTGGCTCGATTTTTATTATTCTGATTTCAAAACAAGCCCTTTGACACGTGGATTGACCTTTGCAGGAAAAAAGCAACATGTGCTTCTAGCTCTTCCCTCAAACACCATTTGAGGAGGTCCTGGCAAGGCTTTCAAATCTTTTTCTCTCATTTCATCCTTTCTTCCAGCCCCCTGGAAAACGGGGTTTGTGTTTGGAACGGGCTTCGGTTAAACCTCTGGGTATTTTTGGGTGTGAATCTTTGGATTATTTAGGGACTTTTGGCTGGGGGGTTGTCTTGAATGCCAAGATATCTCCCCTTCCAAGATATTTGGGCACTAAAATACCCTCCTCAAAACCTCTTTTCCTCTTTTTTTGTAGGTCCAGCAGCGTGTTCCCCAGCCTGAACATGGCAGTGAAGAGACGGGAACAAACTCTCCAGGACTACAAGCGTCTTCAGTCCAAGGTGGAGAAATATGAGGAGAAGGAGAGAACTGGCCCTGTCCTCGCCAAGCTGCACCAGGTACCCAACTGCTGACGAGCCCAAATTCCAAGCAGGATCAGTGGGAAAACCTCAGGGTTGTACCCCAGGGCTTGGGAAGAGCTTTTGTGTTGGTTTGACCTCCCTGCCGAGCACCCGTTTTGGAAGGTTGACTTTTATCCACGTCCAATTGTCACGTTGGGGTGTTTGGTAACAGGAATGAGGGCATTTCAAGAAGGGAAAGAGAGCCAGGTTTCCAAAAGCAAGTGAAATGAAAGCCTTGGGAGCTGGGGATACTTGGAGGAAGCCAACACACAGGGGAGGGGGTTTCCCCACATCCCAAGCAAGCAGCTGGATGGGAGAAGGGGGGAAGATCAGAGAGTTTTGAGGCTTTAAATTTGCCACCTGCTGCAAAAATTCGTCTTGGAAAATTGCAGTAATTGGTTAACAGGAAGCTCTGCCAGCTTCTTTTCTCTCCAGTTTTAGCAAAATCATGATCATTTTCATGAAATCTACCCCAGCATTTCTCCCCAGATCTCCTCCACCAGCAGAATGTTTCTTGATCCCGGATGGAACTTTCTTGGCATCCAACAAACCCGTATTTTCTGAGGACTTTTCCCCACCAAAAAGAAAAAAAAAGAAATTCAGTTTTGTGTTAAAAAAAAAAGGGCCCTATCAGCCTCAACAAAAGAGACCTCTGATTTCATAGTAAGCAGCTTACTTTGCTTAGCCTCACTGACAAAAGCTGTGCCTGGAAAAATGGGAATGCTTTTGTCTTGGTGATTAAGCAGCTTTTAGTTATTTCATGTATTTTTTTTCCCCCCCTTAATGAACTTCTGTGGGATCTAATTCCCTCTCCCCCCATCCCAAAAAAATCATCTTAACTAACCACTGTGTGAGCTTCAATGCCTGTGGGAGCCTTCAGCAACCCTGAACCTGGGATATCTGAGTGATCCATGGATTTGATGGGGAATAGAATCTCATCCAGGTGTTTTTATTGAGCTGGAAACGTGTGTCTTCTCCTTGCTCCAAGTCTTCTGCTGCTTGGTGCCCCACCTGAGCTCCACCCCAGGGGGTTTAAATGCTCCTTGTTTCATGACAGATGATGGACTTGGTCGTTTGCCTCTTGCTGGAGCCTGGGATAATCCACCTGGATCAAGGGGCAATGGGCAGACTGGAGGGCAAACTGGAGCACAGGAGGTTTGACCTGAAGAGGAGAAAATCCATCTTGAGTCTGAGGGTGGCAGAGCCCTGGGCCAGGCTGCCCAGGGAGGCTGTGGAGTCTCCATCCCTGGAGACCTTCCAGCCCCTCCTGGATGTGTTCCTGTGGGATCTGCTCTAGGGGATCCTGCTCTAGCAGGGGGGTTGGACTGGATGATCTCCAAGAGCTCCCTTCCAGCCTCAACCACTCTGTGATTCTGTGGTGATTTCAGGCTTTGCCAGCCTGGAGCTTTGTCCATGCACCTCCCAGGGTGCCACTGCTGGGCTGGGCTCCCTGCCTTTCTCCCACATCCCCCTCCCGTTGGAATGGTACTGGGATTAAGTGGCAGACTGGAACTGGTGTAATGTTTCACAGCCCACCCCCTCCTGCCCTTTTCCACACCATCTCAGAGACATTTCCCTTTCTCCCCACGCTTCTGTTTAAAGAAGGCAGTTGGATGCTCTGAGCTGAAGGTCACAGGCAAAAATGACAGTGTGGACAGGATCCTCTGGAGATGCTCTTGGGGATTGTAGGGTGAGGGGACACAGACATGGATGGGGATGTTCTCCAGCCTGGCTGAGCCTTGGGGCTGGTTTTTGTCCCCATTCTTCTGAAGGGGAGAAGACCGGCTGGTTTGTGATCTCTGCAGCAGCTTCTCTAGGCGTCCCATGGCTTTTAGACCTTGGTTCCCACCCAGATCCTTTAGCTGGTCACTTGGGTGCCACCAGGCTCCTATATCTGGTCACTTGGGTGCCACCAGTCTCCTTTAGCTGGTCACTTGGTTCCCATCAGGTTCCTGTATCTGGTCACTTGGGTGCCACCAGTCTCCTGTATCTGGTCACTTGGTTCCACCAGGCTCCTTTAGCTGGTGGTTGCTGGTTGTGTTTGGGTCCAAGCAGAGCCTCCTGGCCTCTGTCCAGGTCTCCCCAAAGCAAGGACATCTAAGTCCCCATCCTTTCTCCTTTCCCAGGCCCGTGAAGAGCTGAGGCCAGTCAAGGAGGACTTTGAAGCCAAAAACAAGCAGCTCCTGGAGGAGATGCCCAAGTTCTACAGCAGCCGCATCGATTACTTCAAACCCAGCTTTGAGTCCCTGGTCCGGGCACAGGTGAGACACTGTCCCCAGTCTGCCAGGCCCTGCCAAGTGTCCCTTTTGGTGGGCACCCCCCCTGCAGAGCTTCTGGGGTCCCACCTGGGGGTGAATCACTCCTAGAGCAAGGTAAGTGGAGTGTTGGTGAACACGTGTGACACCCAGCACGTGTGACACCTCCCCAAGTGCTGGTACCTCCAGGAATTTAATTATGGAGGAGTGGGAGGGAATGGGGAAGCAGTGGTGGGACACTGGGTTGCTCACCACTGGGCAGAAGAGCAGGTTGGCATCTGCTGGTGCCTGCAGTGATGGTTGTCAGGTAGAATGGACAGGCAGAGGTGAGTTTTGGTTGATGTGGTTCTGCCTGGTGTCAGGGAAACTCTTGATTCCCTGCCCAGGGCAGTTCCAGCCCTGGATCTACACTGCCTGCTGGCATTTGGTGGCTTTATTCATCTGGGTCTGTCCTGTCCTTGGGTTTGTAGCCCTGAGCTCAGGGTTGGGTCTTGTATGAGATGATGATAATGCCAGGGCTGGAGCAGCTCTGCTCTGGAGCCAGGCTGGGAGAGTTGGGGTGTTCAGCCTGGAGAAGAGAAGGCTCCAGGGAGACCTTAGAGCAGCTTCCAGTGCCTGAAGGGGCTCCAGGAAAGCTGGGGAGGGACTTGGGACAAGGGCAGGGAGGAAGAGGACAAGGGGGAATGGATTGAAACTGGGAGAGGGAGCTGGAGGTTGGAGATGAGGAGGGAATTCTTTGGTGTGAGGGTGGTGAGAGCCTGGCCCAGGTTGCCCAGGGAAGCTGTGGCTGCCCCATCCCTGGGGGTGTTGAAGGGCAGGTTGGATGGGGCTTGGAGCAGCCTGGGCTGGTGGGAGGTGTCCCTGCCCATGCAGGGGGTTGGATCTGGATGATCTTGAAGGTCCCTTCCAACCCACAGTGTTCCATGAGCCTATGATGGGATGCTCAGGGCTCATCCTTAGGCTCTCTCCTGCCTCTTGGTAACCAAGCTGGCAGGGATAGGTTGGGCCGCTGTGCAATCTCCAACCCAAGGATTTGCAGGAAGAGGTGGCCTAGATAGACCACAGCCTGCTTGAATTCCCATCCTCCAGCTTCCTTCTGTGCCTCTCTGCCACTCCTCCTCCATCTTCCTTCTCCTCTCACCCTTTTTTTTTTAAAGACTGGAGAGGAACATGCTCAGGATCTAACATAGCTTTGAACTTCTGGCACCTCGGGCGAGCGCCGTGCCCTGGATCCTGGGGTGGTCCAGCTCCAGGAGGTGGGCAAAACCACGTGCCACGAGTGGGTGTTTTTCCTCGGGTGTATGTTATGGGGTTTTTTTTTTTGGGGGGGGGAGCTGCTGTGGTGACACAGGGTGGTGGCTGCAAGGAGCTTGCAAAAGGAGCACGTGTTCCATCTCACCTCCCAGCCGGGAGAACCTCCCGGGAGCTGCCAGCAAGTTGTCTGCAAGGCTGATTCACCCAGCAGATGGTGCCGATGCACCCTGCCGCCACCGGGGGGGTGCTGGGGATGCTGTTCTTGCTGTTCCCTTAGCAATCGGGAGCAGGGCTCCCAGTTCCAGCCAGTGCTGAGGGAATAACCAGACTCCCTGGAGCCGCC